AGCTGAAAGTCCATTAATACAATACAAGTCGGGAGCAGAGCAAACACGGACCTCCAAAACAGAGCATGCTCTTGCGTTTCGAATCAACGGAGAGATATACACCCCATATGCGGGTGATAAGGTCATATTGCTGCATTTATCTCTAAGCATTACAAATAAAATTTCAAGAAGTAGTGAAAGGCTAGCTAAATCTCTGCTTGAAAAGATCTTTTAAATAGCAAAGAGTCGCAGTACTCAATAATTTTAGTAGAAAGGATTTTCTTACATACAGTGAAGAGTACAGTTAAGAGTAATGTTCACACTGGATTACAAACTTTTGATTATTATTATTATGGCATCTTGCTTTCTTTCAAATGCCCATTCTCTGCTGACTGGAAATAATGAGCCAAAAATCAAGGACGTTGATATTCTGAGACAATTATTAAACCAGGAGACTTTATTCAGAATAGCTTTGACCAAAGACGTTGAGAAAATCAAACAATACCTTTTATTAAAACAGGAAGAAACCATAAAGCAAAATCATGCTATATCAGAAATCAGCCATGCATCGGATGAGAGGAACTTCATTAACTCTTCATTGTTACAGACGCTTGCAGAGAATATCAACGTTCACAAAATGGAGGAAATGAGCAACGAAATTTCTTTGCAAATAGAGCAATTTTTAAAATTATCTGACAATTTTACAAAGCTTTCAGCAATGCTCTTAAAAGGCCTTGAGAGACTTGAAAATATAAATACGACAATAAACCTTAGGCAAAAATTTGATGCATTGGATATCAAAGGGAAAAATGACTTCCTCGGTAAGCAATAAGAAATTTATATCACAATCTCATATTATGATCATATTACAAGTGACTATATTCTATTTAGCGCTTTTATCTTAATTAAGTACATTACTAAATATCTTTAGAGCATGCTCTACGTATGATCATTTTTTTTAAACGAGGGAAGGTATTAACCAACAGGCTGATGAATTAGGGATATCAACTGTCTCATTTGAAGTCATCATTTCACAAGTTCTATGGTCGATACAATGATACAATGACCTTATCAGCAAATACTATCTAACATAAGGTCAAATGGTCACTGAAATTTTTCATACTTATTGTTACGCCATTACCGTATAACGGGTATTTTCTGCGGTTGTCCAATTTTTGCGGAATTTTGCGGAAAGGCCAAATCTGCAAAAATTACAATTGCAAATTATTTCTTCAATATAAATTCAATCTGTTAAGTGGTGCTTATGTCGATCAACCTGGTTAAATGTTATTTCATAACTTCTAACTTTGAATTCTTAAAAGAAGAATTATTTCTTTGTTCGTTTGTTGTTTGACGTCTCTCTCAAGAATTTTTCACTCATGTAAAGACACCACCACTTAGCGGTGGAGGGCTGTAAATTTATACCTTTACTCAGCACTCAGGGCCATTGAGCAATAAGGACTCTTTTTCGTGCCAACACCTACTGCGACACAGGATCTCGGTTTATACGGCCTCATCCGAAGGACCCGTCTCCACGTCCCGCAGTCGATTCGAATCCGCGACGTAAGAATAAGCTCCTTATACTGCTTTGAAAAATAATTTAAAACATGGAATAAATAATCTTATTTTTAGAAAAAATTGTTTTGTAAATTTTGACTTGCATATGAAATATGAAGATAACGAACAGTAATCAAGCTAAAAGTCCGTTTAAACAATACATATCGGGAACAGAACAAACACGGACCTCCAAAAACATCAGAGGTGGGATCAGGTGCCATGGAGGAGCGAGCATCCCCTGCCGAGCGGTCACACCTGCCATGTACTCCTTGTCATGATCAGTAAATAACGGGAAAATCCTTAGACAATTTAGTGTGAAAAAAAAATGGCCTAACAATTAGTATGAAAAACGTCAGTCAGCATTTAACTAAATGATAGATTGTATTGCTGACATTATATCGACCATAGAACTTACGATACAATGACTTTAAATAGACTCTTGTTACTCTTGTTTCATCAACTTCTTTGTCAATAACCTATCTCGTTTTAGAAATTGTTCGTACACAGGTGAGTTAAGGCTAGGTATAGGCAATTCTATGCAAATAATCTTATTAAAATGCCTAAGGACTATATCTTATATACAGAGAAGGTTGAAACTTATTGTCTAATACATACTTAGTACCCACGACATGAAATAGCCAGTACACATTATGACGTCATATTATGACGTCATTGTTCTTTACTACATAGGATTATAGTGGATATCAACAAAAATGCTTCGGCTCAAGGGCATGCTCTATTTTATTAAGCTGAAACAAGGTATATTTAGAAGCAAAAGAGAAGCAAAATATTCTAAAGTTTGCTGGTATTGCTGTACAAACATCAACAGCTCAGTTGTTTAAATTCTATTTGAAAAGTTTTAAGTTGAATAAGGGTAAAAATGTACAGTCCGGTATAAGTTTCCTCTAATTCCGATCAAACGAGAAAATGCCTAGGATTTGTGCAGTAGTTTTGTTAATCTATAGAATATTCTTCTTAGCATCATACAATTTTATGTTAAAATAAATAGGGTAATTCCTTGTGACAAGCTGTTTTGTTGATGTGTTTTATTACCTCCAGTGGGTAAGATCAGTGACGACATAATATGACGTCATAATGTGTACTGGCTATAACATATCGTGGGTAGTAAGTGTACATAAGAAAATAAATCAACACTTTCTCTGAATAATAAATATACCTCTTATGCGTTTATTAGCTCATTTGCATAGAAACGTCTATACCTAGCCTTAACTCACCTGCGTACCTAGAGCATACTCTTGCGTATCAGATCAAATGAGAGACATAAACCCCGTATGCAGGTGATTAGGGTATATTGCTGCATAATTTTGGGAAGTTTAAAAAGTTGAAAAGTTAAAGTCATCATGTTTATCATAACGCTTTGTTGTTGGATTAGCATTAACGTCTTTCTCTAGTAAAAAAATCCAAATATGAAATAGATATGTCAGACTCCTTGATATCTTTTATTTCAAACTCACTGGGATATATCATGTCGACATATGAATGGAAATTCATATTGTTAATTGATAATACGTCGTCGATATATCTAAATGTCGAGTTGAAGCGAAGGCAAGAGATTTCTTTTTCTTATGCAGAAGATTTTGAATAAATTCTGATTCATATGTATACAGAAAAAAAAGATCTCCTAATAACGGGGCGCAATTGGACCCATGGGAATTCCAACAGGTTGTTGAAAAACCTGGTCTCCAAAAACCAACTTGATATTGTCAATCAGAAACTCAATCATCTTTTTAATATCAACTTCAGAGTACTTGTGTGTACTATCGGAATGTTTTATAACAAAACAAAATGATTTTGCCAATGACCAATGACAAGGCAAGTTAAATAACGAGTTCCAATTTTATTGAAAAAGCAGTGTCAATGATGTCAAAAAGCCTGGAGTTTACTTTATCATGGGGAATAGTTGTATATAGAGTTTAAAAGTTGTAAGGTTTGATGTTATTAATTTTGGTAAAATTTTGTGATTTAAATTTTTAAAAAGTTCCTTGGAATTTTTAAGTATCCACATCTGATATACACCACTTCTCGATATATTGTTGCACAGTCCTCCTGAAATTTCTCCTATGTTGTTAATATTTAAGTGAGGGGTAAAGAAAGAGGCTTGGTAGAACATTTACTGGAACCCGCTATGTATCTTTGTTCGTAAGGAATTTTTGAAGTTTCCGAATCCAATATAAATATGGTAATTCAAATCCATTTTGGTTGTTGGGAATATCAAAAATATTCAAAACTCACATATGATTTTAAAGATTTCCTCCTTAGAAAGGGGGCTATGGGATTTCAGACACAAAAAAACTCGTTCATTCTGAAGCATTTCTTGTCTCTGTTTTTTTTCTTTTAAAAACAGATGTTATCATAGATGCTTCCTGATTATGAGGACATATTACATTCTCTCTCTCTCTCTCTCTCTCTCTCTCTCTCTCTCTTGTTAGGTCATTGCCTTTTAAAAAAAAAAATTGACTACAGAATATTCCGTTTATCTGATCAATGCGAAGGACTCACGGCGGGTTTGACCGGTTAGCAGGGGATGCTTACGCTTCTCTGGTGTTTCCGGATGCTCGTGTTTTTGCACTGTGTCCTATTTGTTTTGTTTAGTAGATTTATGAGAATGATCGTTGTTATTTTCACCTTTTACATACCTATTCTCATGTCTAACTTCCTGGTTGGCTTAAAACTTTGTCTATGTCTATGTTAAGTTGTGAAATTGACCAAAAGAACAAGCATCCTGAGAGTATTGCATTATCTGTAACTAATCAAGATACACTCACATATCAAAAATCAGCTCAATATCTGCAATTGTTTAGAAAAAAGTGCGGAAAACAAGTGGGGCAGACTTACAGACAGAGGGAGAGACAGACAGACAGACGGACGGACGGACAGACTCAGAGGAAACCTATAGTCCCCTCCGGTTTCACCGGTAAGGGACTAAATATAAAGGCTATTAAATTTCCAGGTTATAAGTAAAGTCATAGGGAAGGTCGAGGAAATAAAATTGACACAGTTGAATTGCTCCCCAATCTCTTGGAAATAAATTGACAAAATATAAATAAATATTACTAAAATTAAGAATTTAAAATAAAGGAAAAAAGCGAAAGGAAAACGTCATAGAAAGCTTAAACTGAAGCTTGAAAGGCAAGATCAAAGTTGAAAAAGCCAAGATTTAAGGTAGAAATGTAAACATTAAAGTTAAAATTACTAACTTGAAGGCTTCTCCATATGAGTGAAAAATTCTCGAAAGGGACGTTAAACACCAAACAAACAAACAAACTTTAAAATTGGAGTTACCAACTTTGAGGCTGTAGTTACCAACTTTAAAGCTGTAATTGTCCACTTTAAATTTGGAATAATAATGTTTAAAAGAGGAATTACCTTTTAAAAGTTGAAATAACTAATGACAAATGCTCTTAACAAACTGAAAAGCCCAACATTTTTTGCAATTTAATTAGACAAAAGATACAGAGATTGTCATGAGATTCTCAAGCAGAACAAAAGTCTGATGAACCAGAACGGAGTATATACAATTTATCTTGGATGTAACACACCACGAAGGGTTTTCTGTGACATGACGACCAATGGCGGAGGATGGACGGTATACTTGTTCTATAAATAGAAACATTCTTTGATAACAGATATATGCATGAGACCGAAATAGTATTCATTACAATGCACAACATCTTAGTATAACAATTTGTTCATATTTATTTTGTTTCTGATAGTATGTTAGAGAATGATTTTAATAATCAATCAATGTATCACGCATTCATAACATACTGCATCGAGAGCAAATATACTAGTATTCGTTTTCAAAGTAAATCAGACACTTTGTTATATTTTTGGGGGTTAAAAAATTTGAAATCCTTTTTTTTAATCCTAAATTGAAATAAATGGATAAGCAGTTACTCAAACAAAGCTTTCATTTTCTTGTCAAAGGTGTCTTTTGGTTTCTATGATAACAATTTAGAAATATATCAATAGATGTATTTCAGGTGATACAGACAAGATTTGATGGATCAACAGATTTTGAGAGGGAATGGAAAGATTACAAGGAAGGCTTTGGGGAAGCAAGTGAGGAATACTGGTTAGGTAAGATGAATTCAATTTATACATTAGTACGGTTGCATGTGATTTATAGAGGATATTCAATGTTTTGTAGATGAATTTGGAATTTGTTTCAGGAGTGGGACAGGATTTTTTTGATATTTTCACGCGTGCGAAGCACGCGTGAAAATCAAAAAAATTCTGTTTCACGAGTGAAATAAATTCCAAATTCATCTACAAAACATTGAATTTTCTGTTTACTACATTTTCTTTGATTTTCCCTTTGCCTCTGTCTTTTCTTAACACAGTGTCATATGCTTGAAGTCATAGTTGAGCGGTTGAGACGTCATAGCTTAGCAGCTGTGTGATTGAAAACATTACATAGCATGTATTTTAGCAACATATTTGGGAAGAAAATTGCTGTTTTAGCTCAATCAAGATGCTTAGTTACTAGCTCTATCTTATGACAGGCCAGAAATTATTTTTTATTTACTTTCATATCCCTTCACACTGTGAGAGAATATCATTTTGGTATCCTTTCACACTGTGAGAGAATATCACTTATTCAATAAATAAATCACAGTATTTCACTGTTGAAAATGTAATAAAACATGATACGTTTAAGGAGGAATGCCACACCAAAATGTTATTTCATGCACTTTTAAGACATCCCTTTTTAGTTATGGTTGCAGCATTCAAAGGCTGATATTAGCTCTTAATTGTATTATAAGTATTGTTTTTTCCAATTTTTCATAGAGAACAAAAAAGATTTTTGTTTGCAAATTAGATGCTTTAGAATTTGAAATTTGCTGTTAATAATGCATAATATGAATATCTAATAATATATGTAAAGAAAAGCCAAATAGACATTTTAATTTTTTAACTAAAAATTATTAATGAAAATAAGACACATTATTTGTGAATATTTTTAAAACTATGGATAATATAATTCTAAAAAAAAAAAGTAACAGCTACAAAGAACGTGTTTGACAATCATATTTAACAAAATTGAATTAATATAGCGAAATTTTAGAGAAATTGATTTTTTTTTTTAATTTTAGCCAATCTCGATCGAAATTAAACTGATCACAACCGGAATTTCATTATAATTGGAAATAGATAATACTAGTTTGTTTAGGTGTAATACGGGTTAAAAGTAATTGACCTTGACAATTAAATAGAGTTCTAAATGGTAAATACGTAAAGAAGGCAATAAATTATTATTTTATTTATTTAAGGAACCACTCTCCACTTTGTTGGTATGCCAGGGCATCAACGATAGATGGAAACGTGGGATAATTTGCATAACGGGCGAAGCATACCCAACAAACTAAACAGTGATTTCTTATATTCACATTTATATGTGAAATTAATTGTTAATATAATTAAATTAAATATTTCTTTTTTTTAAAATGTCTAATAGATTTTAAGTACACGAGGCTTCACATGCTAATTTCAATAGTCCCTGGCCACTGACGTCAGACACAAAACACAGCCACACGACTTTGACGTGCATATAAGGCTCCTGACTTTTCACCTGGCGAAATTAACATTCCGATTGAATTATCAAGAAATCAACTCACTTAACTTTCAAAGCATTATCACAGAGAAAACAATTAGAAATGGAAATATTTTATATGTATTTTCATCGGGATCAGTTTAATATTGATCGTGATAGGTCCAAATATTAAAATAATTATTTTCCTTAAGATTTATTAGTTTCATTTCAATTTCTTTTTAAAATATGATTGAATAACATATTCTCCCTAGTTGTGACTAGTTTTATGAAGATTTTATCCATAGGTTTAAATAATATTCACAAATAATGTGTTTTATTTTAATAAATGATTGTTTATTTCAAAAATTAAAAGGTCTATCCAGCCTTTCTTTACATATTTTATTAGATATTCATATTATGCATTTTCACAGTACATTTTAAGCCATAAAGCATCTTAGTTGCAAATAAAACATTCTTTTTCACTTTTTCCGAAAAAATTGCAAAAAATGTATAAAATAATGAAAAGTTTATATCGGTCTTTCAATGCTAGTTTACAAGAGATGTCTTAAAGATCTATTAAGTAAAATTCTGGTGTGGCATTCCTCCTTAAGTAAAATTATTGCCATTGCATATATACTTCTATCTATTTGGATCATCTATTCACATTAATGAAATAAGCATTACCAGGGTACATGCTGCTTAAAATGGAGGATTTAAGAGCCATTCTCTGTAATGACTTGAACTTTTATATAGGAGCTGTGGCACGCATAGTCTCAGAATTTCTCCAAACTCTCTATGATAAAAGTCTTTGATACCGTAAACTCAAATCAGGCAAACATTGGTTGCTACGTGTCATGGTTACCATAGCAACATGTCCTAAAGTTTGAAAAATGGCATTTTTCAACATCTTCAGAGTCCCACAGTTAACGTTTGTAGCAAAGCAAATAAGTGGCAATGACTGTTTCTGAAAGTTGAAGGCCTGGTGTCTTAAATGCATGATAAACATGTTTGGTAAATCATCTATAACATACGTTACTATGGAAACAAAGTATTCAAGAGTAATAATTTTTTTCATTTAATTTTATAAAGTCATACACTTAAGAATAAAAACAATTATAGGCTGAAATGCAAGCAAATAATAGAGAAGAGATCCTTGTAACATATACCAAGGACAAAATATGATATTTCTTATAGGTTGGCAATGGTTGCCATGGTTTTAATACCACGAAGGGATTTTAAATTTACTGTCTTAGTGTTTTAATCTTATCCTATCTTTTTAAAAAGCATATTTCTATATAACTGATGATCAATTTTTAAAGGCCTTGGTGTGACCCTAATTTTCATATTTCAAAAAATTCAAATTCAATTCTTTAAATAGTGCGTTGCTATGGAAATAAGGCGAAAAAAACATGCATAAAAATCTGAAAAATACCCTGTTTCCTTGGATACGTACCGTTGTATGTAGATTCCCAAAACTTTAATGATTGATATATGTGAACAACTAACCTGACTTTCAATTTTGACTATCACCCAATCTCTAACTGGATGCAATAAGCTGGCACATAGGGTCTAATATTGACAAAAAAATTAACACAATCGAACATTTTCTCTTCTTGGTAACCATAGCAACAGTATTGTATTTTTCAACAACCTTTATCAATACATGATATTCAACTTTAGTTCTACGAGATAAGTACTATTCAAGGTGATTCAAATAATATTTTCTTGATTAAAAGGTTAGTAAATTCCTAAAGCAGCAAAAAAAATATCACTTTAAACAACTAGTACGTTGTTTCCATGGTTACACCGCAAAGTAACAATTAATCTCAATTTTTTCTTTGTTGTCGGTGTTGCAAGGTCCTAAGGATGCATATGTGCCAGTCATGAATTTTATTGTTTTTCCTCACGATAGTAGCATTAACCCAATCATAGCAACAGATTTTGCATGGTGACAATGTGTTACCATGGCAACCGTGAAAGTTATTTTTAGAATAATATTGCCAATACCTAATTACATGAGGTCAAATATTTTTCATTGTTCTTCTTACGTTGTTGATTGAGTTTGATCATGTAACATCTATCATTTGTGACTATAGAGTGTTTTTCAGCATTTTTCAACATCTAAAATGTATTCCAAATGTACCCATGGTTACCACTTACTTAGAGATAAATTCTAAATAGTTTCTTTATAGCATTAGTGGCAACAATGTGCTATGTTTTTGGGAGAATGGTTTGTTTGTTTTTCTTAGTCTTTATTAAGGCTTAATAAAGATTTAAAGTAGCTGAAAATCTCAATTTTTTCAACTTTTCTGGCTGTTACCATGGCAACCAAGACACATAGCAACGAAATTTTATTTGATATATGTTTCTGGTGTCAAGTTGTAATAATGGGCAAAGTTTCATCAAAATCGGTGACCATGCGTGGCAAAGAAGTTTAAGTGGTTACAGAGAATCGCTATTAATAATTAATTTGATTTTTAACTATAATGACAACGGTTGACACTTTATGGGGTTTCGGTTAACAAAATCATCATTATTTTTTTTACAATAAATTCTCACTTAAAACATACATACCAAATCATGACCCATATCTTGTACTAAAATGAATCAATAGTAACAGATAAATAAAAGGTTAAAACAATGGTTTTAACATTCTCGTAGGAAATGCCGCAATTCATGATCTTACCGATAGCAGAAAGCAAGAACTATGGATAGACCTACAAACTTCTCAATTGGAAGTGAGAAAGACAAATTCCAACTGTCTATAGCTGGATAAAGTGGAAATGCAGGTAACTAAAATGTTGCATACTTGTAGGTCATCTTGAATGACATCGTTTCATTTTTTAAAAGATATTAATCTTATTTTCAAAAGTACATTCTGTAGATTTCTTAATTTTTAGGAGGAAAATTTTTCCGTAAATAATTTCATGATCACTATGGAACACAAATTTAAAAAACAATAATTTATCATTTCCTTTTTGTCTACATCTTATTGAAAACTTGTTAAAATCTCAGATGGTCTTCTTATACGAGAAACATCATTTCGTACATCATTTTAAAACTTGTTTGACAGAAGTCAACCCAGACTGCAAAAATATTTATATTCATAACAGTTTAATTTCTCCCAGTCCAAATGAATAAAAACATGTAATACATCTTTTTTGAAAAATACGTGCAGTAAGCATAAGGCATAATAGATATATATTTCATGGTTGTTTTATCAAGTCTGACAGGTATGTTTAAATTTTGTTTTTCACAAAATACCATTTGTCTTTATCAATATAACTGCACTTATCATTTTATATTTTATCAAAAGTTATTGTAGATCATCGAAGTTTTGTTTAATAGGTACTTGGTACTTTTATGTGGGAAAATTTTCCTTCACAATTTAGGTTTTTGGTAGTTATAAACTATATTATGAAAAATATCGCGAGAAGAAGGTCTCGCGCAATTTAAAAGGTTCTCGTGAATAAAACGTAAAATACAATATATATATTACGTAGTTTTTTAAAGTTTAAAATTATGAACAGTAGACAGATTTCTTTTCACATTGACATAAACAAATGTTTTATGCATTCATTACTAAAGAATTATTTTAACCGTTGTTATTAAATGTCTATAGTATACTCAGTATAAGAATATCTAATAAAAAAAACCTTTTCAAGCTGAGGAAAGGTAAAAATTACAAAATAAAAAGAAACGTTTCTAAATTACTTTGCAGAATAATTTTTTTTTCGGCGTGAGCGGGGCTTAAAAAATATTACCAATATGCATAGATAAGGATACTTTAGCTTGAGTTAAATAAATAACAAGAATATCAGGAAAAAATTACTGCATTTTTAACAGTTAAAATAAATTATTCTACAAATAAAATTGTTTTAGGGGACATGATGATACAATCTGAGGATTTGAATAGTATGTATTTTACAACAAGGATCGTGATAATGACAAGCATGCTTATTACTGTGCAGTTTCGTATCGAACTGGAGGATGGTGGTACAGTAACTGTGGAGTTTCAGCTCTCAACGGAGTCGTCAACACTCTCAATAATAATAACTGTAAGGGTATGTTTTGGGGACGAAATTGTGAAATCGTGAAAACTTCTAAAATGATGATTAGGTCAAAATAAAAAAAATATATTCACCAAACTGCACGGTGATCTGTTTGGATATATTACATAAACGAATTTGAAAGGGTTATAATATTGTATGTAGAAAAAAGTCGATGTCTTAAATTTCTGGCATTAATTTTCATTTAAAATAGACAAGGCTAGATATGCATAATACATGTATACCTGTTTTGTATATTAGTACATTTACATTTTAAAAGCGTTCATTTTGCTTCTTAAAACAAAAGTATAAATATAATGTCTACCTCTCATATATAATCGCTTACTATTATAGTCAAGCTTAATTTGCTTACACAGCATAGTGCAAATATGTGTTGAACAATTTTTGATTACTAAGAAATAAAAAAAAAATGACTAAAAAATGTTAAATTGCGAATTAATTTGAAGAAGAAGAATCAAAGACGGAAAGGGACTCTTCAATATCCGGGGGAATGAATGGGTGAAGATAACAGTGATCCATCTAAAAAAATCTATAAAAAATACAAAACTGTGAAGAAGGCATAACCAAGGACCCCTGGAAAATCCAGAGGTGGGATCAGGTGCCTAGGAGGAGTATGCATCCCATGTCGACCAGTCTTTCCCTCAGTTATCCTTATGTATTGATTAAGTAGACTGAATATTCCGTAGTAAAATTCAGTATAAAAACAAAGGCATAACAATTGGTATGAAACAAGTCAGTCAAATTACGACCCAAAGATAAGTTATATTTGCTAATTTTTTCGTTACCTTCACCTTTTACATCCTGTCTTTAATTTCATATGAATGAAAGTAACTTGTAATTGATAATCCATCGTCGGGTTGAAAGCCCTAGAAGTTTTTAAATTAATTCTGCTCCCTGGAAATATAAAAACATGTAAGCTACACGTACAAAACACACACACCCCTCGGGCCCATTCCCCAACCTCCTCTCAACAAGAAATGTTTTATTAAGTTTTCGGCAAATCATTACCTTTACTATGTGAACTATAGATCCGAGCATTGTAAAAAAAAATCTGATTTATGGCGTTGCTTTCTTGTCTCTTGCTTCGATACAATATGAAGGCCATAACCGGAATTCATACAGGAGCAATGAGTCAAAAATAGCCCATCAGCATGTCGCTAAGCGGTAGCAAAGTTTGAAAAATATGCATAAATATGCAAAAATTTAAAGGTAATGTATTTTGTACAAATAAGGAAATACCTGCCTTGTAAATATAGCCATCTTTATAGCTGTATCTAAATTCAGAAATAATTTCTTTGTTTCTGCAACATAATTTTAGACACAGAATGTATTTACTCTCCTTTAAAGCTTATTGCAATGAATGTGAATTAAAAAGGTGGTTGGACTAGAGTATTCACCGGTTCAATCAAAATCAAGCTGAACAACATTGACCTCTGTTTTGTTAATATGAAAGACAGTTCCGGGTTAACTAGTAGTTTTTTAAACTGCTGATGAACTGAAATCTCTCTACGTTGGACAGAATTGGAAGTGTGATCTTTATTGCCTTTTTGACGAAGAAGAGCTGGTTCTGATCTACAAAGATGTGACTGGGGATGGTTTAGCAGCTGCCCCAACCTCTAAACTTTCCGGATACTTGTGTTTTGCCCTGTAATTGTTTGTAAATTTTTCGAGATAAACGACTATCCAATATTTTTACCTTTTTCATAATGCATGTAGTAGAATTTCACAATTCCCTGCAAATAAGGTTCATGTCTCCCAACTTATTCGATATTCAAAAGCAAACTTTGAGTATGATCAATTTTTAAAATCTAGCCAGGCTACTGACAAATAACTTGATGTTATAAGGTTTTCCATAACCTCGCTAAAATACGCATTTCATTACTTAAAAGGTCGGTATAATGATCTTGTTTACAATTACACTCCATCATTCTGTTGTTTTTTGACTGGTATATTTCAAACCAGTTGTTACATGTAGTCCTTAACTTTTTTCCATTGATAATGATATACTAGGACCCCTTTCTGAGTTCTGCTTTGGGGCGTCTTTTGGAGTGGAATAAAAGTTTAATATTTAAACATTCGTTGTTATTTCTGTTTCAAAATGAGCATTACTTTTTAGTGATATCATAAATAAAGGTCTTTGAAAGGTTCCAATTTTTTTGACTTTACTCATTCTTATTCAAATTTTCATCAGTATTGTAGATCATTTTGCTACAGCACACACCCTAGCCTATCTAACAAATTTACAAATTTCATACACCTTGTGTATGTACATTGTACATCTTCTGTTTGAAAATCACAGATAGACAAGGATGTTCATGTATTTCCAGAAGTTAACAGTATTTCAAATGTGATAAAATTCCATAAAAATTAATAACATGTGGAAAAATTGTCTTATTTGCCACCTTCTTGTGGCCTACGATTATGCTCTAAAACGGAATCAAAGCTGGTTTTAAAGCAACCATCATTTAAGTTTTAAATTGAAATGTTTGACAACTTTAATTGATTTAATTTTCTTATCAACTTAGGGGCTTCAATAAGCTGTAACCATATTTTGTACTTTGACTACGGATTAATCCCTCAGTCTAATCAATGCACAGGCTGTGACCGATCAACAAGAGATGTTTACTCCTCCTTTACAACTAGATCCGGTTGCACGAACGTTAGTTAAATTAACTTCCAGTTAGTGTCGTAACTAACTGTTAAATTTTTAACGACGAGTTACATAACTGTCAGTTAAAAAGTTGTTGTTCAAAAGTCTATTAAAAATAAATTACCTAACTCACATTTAATTGATGTCTTATAGTTAACTATCTGTTAAAATCGTTCTACACGCGCATTTCCCTTACCTATAGTGAAATATTTCTGACGTCATAATCAAAATGACGTCAATTCATAAATATTTTAAATTTGCTAAGGTTATTTACATGTACTTTAAATATTAATATTATATTGGTAAAATATATTTAATGTATTATTAAAGATAATTACTTCAAATATGAATTCTTACGTTGAAAGATAGTCATTTTACATGCAGTGTAAACAATGCAATTACAAAGTATGTATTCAGTATTAAGTTCTAACATGAGGCATTGATTTTTGGGAGAGAAATTGATAATAATTTTTTTAAAAAATCTCTTAAAAAGTGACAGGAACAACCCTCCCCCCTCCCCGTTTTACATGCCTTAAGTTTGAATTGAACGATTAACCTACTTTTCTGTAACTTGTCTGAGGTTAAGATTTTTTTAAAATGATGATCATTTTGATAAAATATAATAACATTTATTGCATGCATAATCGGATAAAAAAAAAAGTACCTACATCTCCATCCATATGGAATGATTTCGTCTTGTTGTTCTTTGCAGATTAATTAATTAAGATTAAGATTTGCGATATTTATCGCAACATATATCCGCAATATATACATGTATAATACAATCTTGCCTAAATGGAAATCGGGAATAAATTTGCATGTTGCTCAAGTCAGACATTTCTATCATCTCTGTATAAGTTCTTCCTTCCATGCAAACAAGTTTTGAAATGATAACAAGTCCGCGATTTTGATTTTAATGCTTAATTAAATATTTAATGTACCTAGGTAACCTCAGTTAAATCTGTTAGTTAAATCAGAAAATTAATTAGGCTTTAATTGTAAGTTAACTTTTGTGCAACCGGTTTAACTCGCCGTTAAATTTAATGTCACGTTAACGCAAAGTTAACGGCCAGTTAAATTTAACTAACGTTCGTGCAACCGGATCCTGATCACCTACGGGATTTCCAGATGTCCATATTTTATGCCTTAATTATTCACAGATTTGTACTGTTTTTATTTTTTTTCTTTGCACACTGTTCATATCTTCACCTTTTTTTTTATTTTTTGGATGTCAAAAAAGTTGAGATGCATTTCAAGTGCATTTTAAGTAAAGGGGGTTTTTTAAATATCTGAATTAATTTTTTCCCCAAAAGCTTAAAGATTCAATTTGCGTTCCTCGTTAAATATCAGTGACAGTTTGGATTATTTTGTGGATCATTTGTATTTATAAAACTTAAGACACGGCATAATTGTGAACAAAAAGTAAAGGATTAGCAGGTGTGATATGCAATGTCATCTGATTTTATCAGTTTGAGATTGATCACTGTTTGTTATATTCACATTTTCCATTTGAATGTTCCAAGCGCTCGGCACTTTGAAAAGAAAGTTGCGGGTCCTTCGGATGAGACCTTAAAAACCGAGGCCTCGTGTCACGACAGACACGATAAAGATCCCTCACTGCTCAATGGCCCTGAGAGCTGAGTAAAGCCCTTCACCGGTAAATGGTGACGTCTCTATACGAGGTGATCGACACGTTTGTGAACTATCTCTATATTAACAAAACCACAATTCAGATCAGAATGAAATTTGGCACACATATAGTCCTACATGTGTTCTATAAATAGTAGATGTATGTAATGTTTTGTTCCATGTTTGTGACGTCATAATGTAAAAATGACGTCAATAGGTAGGTTACTTGTGACAAAAAATGTGTGACTCAGTCGTACTCGAGCAACGAATGGCTGTTAAGTTTAATTTGTATCTTGAAAATTCCTTTGACGTAATATATAATAATCTGTACAAAGTTTATGAAGACAGAAGACTTGCCAGGAGTTCAATCATTAATTGGATTGGTTCTTTTCGTGAAGGATGTTTGTTCTGTTGGCCAGTGAAAGCAAGCTGGAGAAGAGATGTGTCATTAGTTTAGCAATTTGTTTTGAAAGACCGCCAAGTTACAATTAGAAAAATACTCGTACTTGAATATTTTAACAATAATATAATTATTAAATCCCTAAAATATCTTTTACTTTAGACTTTAAACATATCAGATATGATAAAAAGAAGGCGTCCATACTTTATCCACATACTTTATGGATAAGCAACGCTCCCTAGACAGAGGACTCGGGTTGTGATGGTCACCATGCTCATTCTGGGAAAGGATATCCTTATCCATCCATCTTATTGCCAGGATTTGGTCATTTTTGACAAATGGACTGTTCTTGTTATAATAAATAACTTACATGGTAAGAAATATAAAACTCGGAAAAATCTTTTAGCCTCTATGAACAGAACGCTTCGGAGCACGTCACGTGACCACCTGTATCACATGATTCGTGCATGGACAGATAGGTGGCAGATGTGCATTTAAATTGGAGAGGACTACTTTAAAAAATAATGAACATTGAAACCTAATTTCATTTCTTTTATAGAAGTAATTGAATTTCTTCGCCAAAATTTTGATCACCCCTGTATGAGTGAAAAAATCTCGAATGGGACGTTAAGCAACATTCAACCAACCAACCAATCAATCAATCCATTTGAATGTTTAATACGAGATACAACATTAGTTAACGTTATCCTCAGCTGTACTTTGCTAGATAGAAAATGGCAACAAATGAACTTACAAGCTCTTCCAAGATCTCTGATTAGGAGCACGTTCCAAACTGCGATAAACATGAGATGTTACTCAGTATGTTTTGTGAGGACTGTGATGAATTTATTTGTTGTCAATGTGATAGATCTGACCATGAAGATCATAACTGAGATGTGTTAACCACGACAGCTAGCAACAGGAAGATGCGGTTCTTGATATTTTCCAAACGTATAAAAGAAGAGAAACCTCTAGAAATCGATGAAGGAATTAAAAAAGCTTCAAAAGTGAATAAAGGCAATAAAACTCAATATCAATCAGAGATACCCTAGGAGCATTAAAGTCAGAGATCGTCTTGTAAAAAAAAATCTAGAAATTTATGAAAAATTGAATCTTGAAAATAATATGCTAGAAAAAAGGGGGGAAACTAAAGAAAATGTTGGGATTTCTGATGGAAAATAAAGACACCACCATGTCTGATTTCAACTTGATTTATAACTATAGAAAACTCACAAAATTTTCTGAAAAAATCAAGAAAATTTTGAATATCTTATGCGATACAGGCAAGGAAAAATCAATTATGATATACTAAATGTTATCTGTGGAAATATTTCTGATACTAAAACAAATTAATTTTAGTACCAGAGGGAAGAAAAAAGACAATTATGTTCTAGAAGCCTTAAGTAACGAGGATACTTCTAGTTGTCAATATAATCATAGTAACCTGACAGTTCCATCAAAGTAGATGAAGAGAAAAAATTAAAACTAATTACAGGGTGTCCCAAAATATATGATACCATTTGAAATACCTGCCACAAACACATCCCTTGGCAAATTTCTTTGATATATGCCTCTATAAATATTTGAATAAGTAAAATGTTTTAGCAATAAAATATTTCAAAAAATTCTCACACTTGTGAATTGGCAACGTATCAAATCTACATCAAACTTTTGAAAAAAAAACTGCAATTTCAATCAAAATGGATTATCAAAAGAGCAAGCTACCCTCATTTTGAAACTGTAATTATCAATCCTATTCTTAAGTTATTGCTGCTTAACGCAAACCGAAATCCTTAACATATACAAAAGGTTTACCTCTGATGAAAATCCAGAAGTTATTACCAAGACAGGCACTGTTGTCTCAAGTTAAGGAATTTTGTGCAATGACTTGGCATTATCATTACACAGATAGAACGTCATTTAGAGGACATCATTTGAAAACCATAGCAATTTTCAAAAATGAACCCATTTT